CTGTTGATATTTGGCAATGGTAGTTTTTTCCCTACATGTTTCATGTGTTGTGAGATGTGTGTCGTAGATTATCATGTAAAGTATTGAGCAAAATATTAATATTTATTATATTTGTATAAAATACTTAATATATGATATATTTTGTATTATAACTTTGATATTTGATTACAAGATAGTGTAAAAGAAAGACAATGAACAATGTAGTGAATATAATTAATTAATGAATTTGAAGGTAAGAAATCTTTGAATTGGATAAAATAAAGATAATATAACTAATGAAATTATATTTCTTTTTTTTTTAATTTTTTTATAATGATTTTTTTTGAATAAATACATTATAGACATCTAATTCTAAATTAATTAAATGCATATGTATTATTATTTTTGTTGAAGCTACTAATGCATATGCATTTAATTAATTAGAAAATTCAAGATTCAAGATGCACCATAATTTCATTGCATGACGCTTCCCCCTGTTATACTTTGAATTACTGATTATATTACCACTAGTTTTACACACGAGTCAAACCTAGAGTGTGTGTATCAATTCCAATTTCGTGTATCATTTCACGCCCAGTGGGGCTCGAACATTCCAATTTTGTGTATCATTTTACGCCCAGTGGGACTCGAACCCACAATTGCTTGATTAAAAGTCAAGCACTTTATCCATTAGGCCATGGGCGCAGATATATTTTGAAATGGTATTAGCTTTTATTAATTGTTGTATCTTATTGGTCATAATTACTATTAACTTCGTGTGTTTATGTTTTGTTATGTGTTCAAATTACGTGACTTTAGTATGAATAAAAGTAGAGCAAATATGTTTCAGAAAAGATAGAGGAAATATGATTCTGATGTTAAAAGGAATGCAATAAACAAATAATAAAATATTAATTTTTATTTATTATTTGGTTGGATTATAGAATTTAATAAATAATGTTTAAATATTAAGTTGTTTGAGGAATAAAAAAGTATTATATATATATATATATATACACACACACACATTAGCTGAGCACGTGCAATACACATAGTGTCAGGCCCAAAGTAAATTTATATTTAGAATCATAATTTTATAATCATGTGAATACAATAGGACTTAAATTTCAGAAGAAGCGATTTGAGTGTAATCGGAAGGACAAGATGAGCGTGACAATCATATCGGAAGGCAAGCTTTCCTGTCAGTAGTAAAGACCTGACGCATGAAGAAGTCATCAGAAGAAGAGAAGTCATCTCTCATAAGTTTTAACTGGCATAACACATTGAATCATTGGATGTGTGAGTGAATATGATTCACTAGATCATTTCAATATTATGTACTTAGCGTTTCGCTATCACAAAAAAAAAAAAAAAAAAATTGATAGAAATTATACTGTTAACATTTTGATGATACAAAATAAATTGTACAAGGATTACAGATGGACTGAAATTTATTTTTTATATGATTGGAATTATCTCATGTAAATCAAACACAAAGATTATTGCTTTCATAATGTTGGATGGAAAGGAATTAAAAATTATTTGTTCAAAGAGTGCAAATGAAGCAAGGTATTTCCCTCTAAAACTGTTAGTATGAAGAATTAATATGATTTGTGTTGCAAAAATTATGTTTGGGTAGTATTCAGTGAAGATAATTCTCTCTAAAACTGTTATTTCACCAGTTAATTTTATGAAAAATTATGCCACAGGTAATAGTTATGCATTCTTTATTTACTTTTATGAAAAATTTGATAATCTTGCATTAATATTCGTCAGGATACCAAATGATATTTTAATAAATTCTAAAACACTAATTTAAAAATACTCATTGGACATTAGACTATTCGCGCAATAGACATATGGTAACTAGTGTTACATATAAAGGAAAATGTAATATATATTTTTTTGTGAAAAAATGTAATACTTTAAAATCAAAATGTAGAAAGTATTATATTTTTTTTTCAAAAATATTATGTTTTTCTATATAAATAATAAATATTTTATCCCTAATTAATATTAAACTTTACAGTATAAGAATTATATTTTATCTTAACCCGACCTGTATCACGAACAATAATTTGTGAAATAGTCTTACACAAGTTTTTGTATTATTATTATTATTATTATTATTATTATTATTATTATTATTATTGTTATTATTGTTATTATTGTTATTATTATTATTATTATTATTATTATTATTATTATTATTATTATTATTATTATTATTATTATTTTTGTAACAGGAGGGATTACTCCCGGGTGAAAAAACTAATTGCTAACTCCATGCTGAAAGCATGCTCCATTCTCGTCCTCCTACAGTAGGACCTGCACTGGTGCTGGTGGAGAGCCAATACACCTACTGCCCAAGGTGTGGGCAAGGGTAGAGGCGGCTAGCCAGTCCGCAACTCTGTTCTGCTCGCGAACAATGCAACTGTACTCTACCTCCTCAAAGTATCCACATTCGCGAACGCAAGCTCGCACCACGTTTGTTCCCCTACCCAAGCATAATTTTTGGCTTACACATCTCACAACACATGAAACATGTGGGGAAAAACTACCACTGCCAAATGTCAACAGATGCTTGCAATATAAAGAGTTTATAGTACAAATAAGATCTCAGTCATATACACAGCAATGCAACTCTAAAACTTCATACACCATAATTTCATTGCATGACGCTTCCCTCTGTGTTACCACCAATAATCCAATTGCACATGACACACTGCCAATAAAAAAGACAATGACAATGCTACCCAAAAGAAAATTAAGAAGACTTAAAGAAATTTAAACCAAAAATAGTATTTATTTAGACTAAATATTTAGACCAGCGTTATTACAAAGTTACAAATATTTATTTTAGTGACAATTATAATCAACTCTCATATTTTATCTTGCATTTATATACTTTGAATTACTGATTTTTAAATTAGAAAATTCAAAATTCAATTACCTATGCATGAACATGAGTCAAACCTAGAGTACCCACAATCGCTTGATTAGAAGTCAAGCGCCTTATCCATTAGGCCATGGGGGCAGATATATTTTGAAATGGTATTATCTTTTATTAATTGTTGTATCTTATTGGTCATAATTACTATTAACTTCGTGTGTTTATGTTTTGTTATGTGTTCAAATTACGTGACTTTAGTATGAATAAAAGTAGAGCAAATATGTTTCAAAAAAGATAGAGGGAATAGGATTCTGATGTTAAAAGGAATGCAATAAACAAATAATAAAATATTAATTTTTATTTATTATTTGGTTGAATTATAGAATTTAATAAATAATGTTTAAATATTAAGTTGTTTGAGGAATAAAAAAGTATTATATATATATATATATATATATATATATATATATATATATATATAGGCGATTAAGTGCAGCCATATTCTTAGGTGTAGTCATATGGTCAATTACAGGCCATTAGATTAGATAGATCCAATGAATCACATTAATCAAGATTCTTCTAGTATTTTCGCGCACGTTCTCCTACCCAGCGAACTGCAAGGGTAAACTCGTCATAGGGCTTTGGAATAAGGGAAATAACATTGTTGTGTGTTTTATTGTGTAATTGGTGCATTATTAGCCTTACTCTAGTGTATTTGTAGATTCCCATTGGTGCCAAGTTCAGGTGCGGCAACGCCTTCCTGTATGGTCAGTGTGGCTGCACCAATTGTTATACAAATATACATCATCCATGTTATGAAATGCACAGCAAAAAACATACACAAATTAGGTACGCATCACCAAAACGCGCCATTATATATGAATAAATACACCATACAGTGTTCGGGAATACACTATTTGTGTGTTTCACTGTGGTGTATTTTATTACACTATTGGTGCATGTTGTCAACATTGTTGGTGTGTTCTGAAACCCGGCCGCTATAAATGTCCACTGTAATTACCATAACACCCCCACTTACCAAAACGCGCGAAAGTCATCAAATCCTCATAATTAACCACTACTGTTAGATTAAACTGATTGAACGACACAGATAGAACCACACCGCCACACCTAATGACATGACCACATATGAACGCTTATTTATATATATATATATATATATATATATATATATATATATATTAGGGCGTAATAATATATTTAATTTAATTTAATATTTAATATAATAATAATAATAATGATGTAATAGAAGTAAAATTATATTAGGAAGTAATGATTTAATATAAAATTTTACCAATAAATGTAAACACAATAAATGCATTCATATTGCTAAGTTTAGGATTGTCAGAATTATGGAGAGGGTTTAATAAGAATAATTAGCATTATTAAGGTAAGTAATTATTTTGTTTATTATTATTATTGGTGGTAAGTAATTATTATTATTATATATAATTATTAGACAAAGTTTATGATTGCCAGAATTATGGAGTACTTATTTTGTGTATAATTATTATTATTGGTAAGTATTATATAGTAGTAAGGAAAATAAAGTAAATAAGGTAATAATATTATTATTATTAGAGATAATGTTTTAAAAAAATTACATTTAAAAAAATTATTATTAAAATTTATTAAAAAGTATTTAAAAATTATTAAAAATGTCAACTCATCTGCCACGTAAGCAAGTAACCTGTTAAAATTGATGGTAACCTGCTATTAGGTGAAATTGTATACATTTGGAGTGTTCAGTGACCTAATTGCAATTTTTTTTCGATCAGTAACTTAATTACATTTTTAGGTTACGTTCGGTCGCCAATTTGAACCTTATTCCTTATTATTATTATTGTTTTCACATTTTAGAGGGAAACAATTTTTGGCCATCATTTTACTTATATATATATATATATATATATATATATATATATATATATATATATATATAGAGAGAGAGAGAGAGAGAGAGAGATTATTAGGAAATGATATCTTATTGGACCAAATGACCAATGTATAACCATTGTATAAAGGGTTTAATGGGCAGTTACTCTACCCGTTTTCATCCTTAGTTTAGATTACTATTTCTTGAAGGGGTAAATCCCTAATTAAAACCACTGACCACACTTACAACTCTTCTCTGAAAGTCTTTGCATTTTCCTTTTCCAACAATAATGGACGAAGAACAGCTTCCAGAACCCAAACGCCGGAAAATCGAAGACACCGTGATCGATATCCTCACAACCGCCGACTTGGAAACGGCCACCGAACTTAGTGTCCGTACCGACGCGGCGGTGCGACTTGGCTGCGACCTCTCTACCCTCCCTCACAAGCGCCTTATCAGAGATACTATCGAATCCTTCTTGCTCTCTTCCGCCACCTCAGCAGCTCACCCTAAAGAACTGTTGCGTAACAACAACGAGACAGATAATCAAGAAAATGATCAAGGACGACAGGTGGATATTGACGCTGCTCCTGATCCTGATACAGCCGACGGTATTGGTCAGGTCATCTGTAAGGTAGTTTTAGTTTATATTTGTTGTGTAAATGGTTGATTCGCATTTATTGTAGTTGACTTGAGGGCAAATGATGGTTATGTATATATGTTGTGCTTTTTTAACTATGGTATTCAAGTGAATCAATTTAGCGTTTGAAATTCAGAAGTTGTGTCCTTGCTGACATTGAAATTGCTACATCTAGGAGGTGAGTGTGTTATGAATGAATTTAGCTAACGAAGCTGAAGTCAATAGTAGTTTAATTATACACAAAATGTGGTGTCCTTACTGACATTCAAATCACTGCACCTAGGAGGCTAGGATGGGTGTGCATTTTGAATGAATTTAGCCAACTAAGCAGATGCGAACACTAGTTCAATTAGATGCAAAATGGAGGAGTTGGTTGTCACTATGAGCTGACATGTTTGCACTTTGCAAGTTAATTTCTTTTAGAATAAAATCAAATGACAGCATTTACATGCATCATAGTGCACTGTAGGACAAAGGGACTAAAGCTTTTTGACATCTAAGGTTAGGGATTTTAAATTGATATGGCGATTTGGTTGACTATGCTTAGTTGTGTGTAGATCTAAGTTTAGGGATTTCTAAGCACCTCATAGGCTTTCTCAACACATCCACAATATGAATACAAATAAAGTGGACAATGCCCAAAGAAAGCATATCTCAGTATAGCCCCAAGCCATCCTTCAGTAAATTGCCCATTGTATAAGCCCTGATCATAGTGTTGTAAGACGGCACATTGTGTATTGGAATTCATTGAAGACCCTCCAAGCATAACCCAAGTCCTAAAAAGGCAGAAACAAGATGCGGGTCAAGAAATTCGAAAATGTGTGGTGGTTAATGAAAGAGACAAGTACCTAAGAGGTAGGCATGGATTTAGGACCCGCATTTAAATCCAATATTTCCATGTGCCTAAGAAATCGACTACTGCACTTGATATCACCACATTCCACTTCTTACTTTTCCATGATATCAGGTTTCAACAATTCATAACAGAGTGCCTAGAAGTTGATCATCTATTAGTCCTTCGTTCCTTGAGTTTGCCATGGTTTAGATGATGTCTACATGTACTGAGCCTTCAGGCTGTAAATGAAAGGTCACAAGACGCCTAGGGAGGTGAAGTGAATAGCCAACATAATTAGCACATGCTATAAGACTAACAGAGGGAATTTGTTGCAAAATTTTATGCAACTCTCTCTGTATCTTTTCTTCGGTGCAGTTCTGTCTATAGTTCCTGTATTCTTTCTTGCCATCAATCTTCTTCTGCGGTTGTACATTTCTCTGTTTATTGTGTGAATTCATTACAGAGTGGATTCTCGTACTGATTGAAGACATTTGATGAAAAGTAACTAAGTTATTATGTAATGAAAGAAAAAAAAAATCTGTGCCTAATCTGGCTCTAACTTAGCAATGGTTTATGTTTAGTTACTAATCTTATTTTGTTTTATGTAACAGCACTACTTTAATGAATAAAGAAGTCAATCTATTACAATATTTGTTGGCTAAAAGGGTTGATATTGAAATTTTATAAGTATTTTATCTTAGCCTTTATTAATCAGCAGAGCCAATTTCACTTTAGTAATGTAACCTCAACTTTCATGTCTATTTTGACCACGAACCCTTTTTTTTTTTTTTTTCACAAGCTTTGCTGGTTTGTCTTCTGTTAGCTCACCTGGAGGAGGATGGTGACAGTTCGTTCACTAGGAGGCGAGACTTTGGTGTCAATCTGGGAGTACTATAGGAAAGATGGAAAGCAGATCGCTACTAATAAAGGTGATATTTGTCTATTTCAGTATGAGTTCTGCTATACAGACTCCCAATCTCTACTTGCTCACTTTTACTCCCTAATTTGGCAAGCAATGACAAGATATCTTTATCATGTGGGTCCCAAGAGAAGTGTTTACATCAAAAGTTTGAGTGTAGGGAGTAGAGATTGGAAGTCCATGTAGTACTTTCCTTTCAATATTTTGGAATTCATATTTTGCTATTTGCAATTTTCATGTGCTCCTTTCTTTCCTTATCTTTTCTTTTGAGGCTTCCGAAATTATGAGCAATCATATTAAGATAAGTTGCACCATAGAAAAGTAAGAGATAAAGGGATACTATTCTCTCAAATAATTCAAGTTTTATCTTCAGAACTGGTGATCTTAGTGTTTGCTGCCTTGTTACTGTCAGATAAAAATGCCATGTGCTATCTCCTTTATATGTACATTACTGTCCATTATCCAGCACCCATCCAGAACAAAGACGTGAATACTAAAAATGCAGTTTTTGAAGTATCAGCATTAAAATTTTCTTTTATTTGTTTCCTATCTTAAAGTTGCAGGATTAGTAAAGGCATTCAATCTTTTCTTGACTGATCTTTGACCATTCAATTGCTTTGTATCGCTTTTTTTTTTTTTTTTTTTTTTTTTTTTTTTTTTCAATTAAGGGTCCGTTTAGAAAGCAGGAAAATGACTTTTGGAAAATGTTTCCAGGAAAATGAGTCATTTTCCAGAAAACATTTTCTTTTCCGGTGTTTGGCTGCACAACGGAAAACTGTCTTTGTATGTTTGGTTCATTTTCCAGAAAATGAATAGAAAAATGACCAGAATTGTATTTTATTTCTTCCATTATTTTTTACTTTTTATATTATTTGATAAGTTCATTTTTTAAATTTTTATGCTCTGCTTTGTTCTTCTTCCCTGGCTTTCAATTCAGAAAAATAGAGTAATTCAGTCAAAACAAATAAGCACATGAACCCAAAACAACCACCTCCATTTCTACGCAAATAGAGGAATTGATTTCACAAATAAAAAAAAATACTGAGAGATTAAAAAAAATATCACAAACATCTTCCCAGTTCATCACTGGTTTCCGTCCGCAGCCGGAAACCAGTGGCTTTGGTTTCCGGCTGCGAGCCGGAAGCCAGTTGCGAGTGGTTTCCGCATCGGAAACCAATGCCTTTGGTTCTGATGCGGAAACCAGTGATGAGGAAGTCTCCGGTGGAGCTTTTCTGGTGATGAATTTGTTGGCGGAGCCTGTTCTCGTGTTGATGGAGGCTGGAGCTTGCAGATGGAGGCGTGGAGATTGCAGGTGGAGCGTCTGAATGGAATATGGAAAATGACTTCCCCCAAAAAAAGGGGAACTCATTTTCCGAAAAAGTGGAGTGATTTTCCATTGACCATGAGTTATTTTCCTTTGACTTCTCTTTTCCTTGCCTAGCCAAACACCAGAAACTCGGAAATCATTTTCCGGGTTTCCGAACACACCCTAAATCAAATTGTATACTTGGAGTTGGAAAGGTTGTTTCAACAAGACCTATCTTTTATTCTACATATTCATTTTATCTATATTTGTCCCAAACTGTCAAAATTTCTACTGATGTGTCGTCATGCAAGATTTCCATATCAGAGACCAGGAGAATAATGCAACTATGTTGAGTCTTGCCATTCAAACTGTTATGGTTTTAAATCATACTTAGCTTAGGATATTGGTTAAGGCAATTCTGATTAATCTTGTATTAATCTCAGCTTCTTTATGCTAAGGACTCACATACTAAAAAATAAGGCTTTGTGTTTGAATAATGTGGCATTTCTTCTTGGACAACTCAACTCAAATCATCCAAGTATAATAAGGGTCAGGATTTTGCATATTATGAAGCTTATAATCTATCTGTTATGATATATGCCCATAATTTCATTGCTGGTTTAGTGCTACACTGCTACCTAAAGCATACATTTAAACATAAAGTAGTATTTTTTTTCCTGTGTGCATGTGTGTCTAGATATGTCTGTGTGATTATCTTTCTTATTTTATATTTATATTTACTGTGGTTCTGTATCATAAAATTTATTCTTTCAACTTCTGTAGAGAACATGATACTTACAGCCTTTTACCTTGTGCTCCAGTGCATATACAATCTAATTTCTTAGATAGAAGCCCTCTAAATTGTTTTCAATTTATCATCATCTTGTTTACTTATTCAGTTCATTGACAACTTGCCTACACTGCAAATTCAGGTGTTAACATGACAGTCAAACAATGGTCGTCTTTTAGGAGTAGCTTCCCTGCTATAGAAGAAGCTATCATCAAGATGGAATCAAAGATAAGGTACCTGAGGCACAACTGGCGTTAACAAAATCAATATATATGATGTTGTATATGTATGCCCGGCATTAACTTGGTAATATGTTGCCTTGTAAACCTTATCTCAAATCTGCTTACTCAGACTCAAAGTGCCATTTGATATTTACTCTGAGATATTCAAAGTTCTGTAGTATATCTCCTGTCTGTTTATATATAATGGTGTGTGTGCGTGTGTGCTTGCATGTGTATTCATATATAGCTAATTTTGACTGAATTTGATCTATGCAATCAATAAATTGCTGCAGATGTGAACGTGCTAGCAAGAAGACTAAGGCCGATAAGGCTGTTACATCAAGGTCATTTACTGTGGATGCTCCTGAAGTGAGTGGAAAAACTGAGACATATATCCCGAGTTCAAATGATTCCTTTAATCATCAAGAGAATGGCTCTGTAGAAAAGAAACAAGCAGATAATTTGGATGACACCGTGAAGAGTACAAACACTGAAGGTCTAATTTCCATTCAGAGAAATCAGAAGCTGCTGGCTACTTCTAGTCCAATGCCTAATTCTGCTCCCGAGGAGCGGATGCAACATAATTCTCTTACAAACTTCCCTTCTGTGGGCCTTGTTCCCATTACACGTCTTGATGGGAAAAATTATTATTGTTGGAAGCATCTGATGGAATTTTTCCTGAAGCAATTGAATATTGCATATGTGCTCACTGAACCCTGCCCAAAAGTTCCCATTACCCCAGAAGTGAGTAGTGAAGAAACTCTCCAAGCTAAGGCTGCTGTAAAAAAATGGATTCATGATGATCATGTATGCTGTCGCAGCATATTGAACTCTTTATCTGACAAACTTTTTGAGGAGTACTCAAATAAGACATACACATCCAAGGAGCTGTGGGAAAAGCTCAAATTGATTTATGACGAGGATTTTGGAACAATGAGGTCTCAAGTGAACAAGTATATACAATTTCAAATACTTGATGGTATATCAATTCTTGACCAAGTTATAGAGCTAAACAATATTGCAGATTCTATAATGGCATCAGGAGTTTTGGTGGACGAGAATTTTCATGTCAGTGCTATTATCTCCAAGCTCCCACCTTCCTGGAAGGATTATCGTGTGAAATTGATGAATGAGAAGTTCCTACCTCTGAAGATGTTGATGCATCGACTGAAAACTGAAGAAGATTCTCGTGATCACTACAGATATAGAAAGCCCGTTGGAAGTTCTCGTGATGGGTCAAAGCATGATTGCACATTTGTACCAAGAAACTGATGCAAGCATGGTGGATAGGTGCTCTTCAGCAGGTAATCAATAATCTATCGACATTTTTTCTCCTTCTGCTGGGAAACAATGTATCTCCAAATGCAAAAGATTAGATTGAGCTGGAGGGGAAGGGGAACTTTAACTGAATTCACATTCTTCGCCGTACTTGAAGATTTTACTTTAAATGATTGGATTTATTTTTTACTTTTATTTTATTTTTATATTTTATATTTCTAAATGTTTTAATTAATATCTTACACAGAAAATTCTATGTTATGAAAAGATGGTTCTGCTAGGGTTACACAGAAATCACCACTTGTATCAGCAATTCAGCATAACTCATCTCAGCCAAGCAGCACGATAAGCCATTTATCTTCCCCGATCAATTGAACTTAAGAGATTTTGTTCATTGTTCTACTCCAGTTTCCTTTACTCTGCTATTGCCTGGTTGTCTGTTTTTGGATATGAAGTCCCCACACACATTCAACGACTAGGTATGACTATAACAGCCTAATGTTCCATTGGACTAACTCCTCGAAGGCATTAGCAAAGAAGATGCATTTTTACAAATTACAGCAGGGCATGTTCTTTGAACTAAGAGGCAAAGACATGGTTCGTTTATCTGATAACAAAGACTGCTTAGACTTTTTCTTGAAATTGCTAACCTCGTTGATTAGATGTTATGTATGCTGGATTGCTGGTATCATAAAACAATAGATTAGATTTTGAACTAAGAGGCAAAGATGGTTCGTTTATTGAGTTTTGAATGGTGCAGGCTGCTGAAGAAGAGTGGCAGCAGGGGACACGCAAAATTACATTTTGGTGTTCTTAGATCCCAACAAGAAGTTGCAGATTGTCTTATGGAAGAAGAGTTGAGGGATAAAAGAAACAAATGAACATTGATGGTAGCAGTAGGGATAAGGATGTTTATATTATGCATTAGACAATTTTGAGCAGTTTTATTCTGTAAATTGATTGAGGAAAAATATAGAAAATAAAACACTAATAAAAGGTCTTCTCATAATTGTGGTCTAATTTGTGTAGCAAGTCCCAGCTTGGAAAAAATATACAAGGAATGACACTGCTTATACTTCAGTAATGGGGTATAGAGTGAAATTTGTCTTTGTTAAAGGGCATCCTTAATAGTGGGGATTTTTGTGTGGATCTTTGGAGGGGAAGAAAAAAAAAAATCAAAAGCTGAAAAAGAAAAAAATAAAATTAGATTGATTTACGCGCCAGCTTGGGCGCTATGAGACCTACATTCTGCAAAATTTAGGGTGCTTGCAGGAGCAACTCATTTCATCTCTCTCCTCCTCTCTTTCAACTGACAAAAACAATTGAAAAAGCCATGTAAAATCTCCTTAATGGGGATGCTCTTAGGTTCCTATCTTTAATTTGAAAGCTAATAGTAATATTTTTATAATTGGATTGCTATTTAGTGTTACAATTCTGCATTAGACAATTTTTGAGTTGTTTTATTTGTAACGAGAGAAAAAAAAAAGTCGTAATATGAATTATATTGTAAGGTGGATCATGTTCATTTTTAGTATATTACATATTTATTTTAAGTGTACTATTTACAAATGAACTTTTAAGTGGTGGTGTGATGGTTGTGGAGGGGTGGTGGTGATAGTTCTTTGGTAGTAGTGGTGGTGGTGATTGTAATAATAATCGTAAAAATTTAGATAGACATTTTTCGTCAAATTAAACATTTATTTAGTGACCAAAATGAATATTTTCTTTTGACTTTATTTTTTTAATTTCCAAACACGGAAAAATCTAAAAAATAACTTTCAAGTTTTCAAATAGACCCTAAAGTAATTCTAATAAATGTTCTATATACATTAACATTTATTTAATCTCTCTCTCTCTCTCTCTCTCTCTCTCTCTATATATATATATATATATATATATATATATATATATATATATATATATAGCAAAATAATTAGGGAAATTTTTTTTCCTCCAAAGTGTGAAAACATTTATTGTATTCACATTACTTTATAAATTCATGTTATTTTAATTACAAATCAAATCAACATCAACATAATTATTAAATTAGTCAAGATAATATGTCTATATCATTCATTTATAAAATATTTCATATATTATTATATATTATATATTATATATTATATCTTTATCTCTTCTCTTCTCTATCTCTATATCTCTATCTCTATATATATTAAAACAAAATGATTAGGAAAAATTTTCCCTAACCATATTCATCATAAATAATTAAACAAAGATGAAAAGAAAACCAAAGTGAATAATAAGCAAAAAGATTTTAGTGGATAGGAAAGTAATTCACAAAATTAATTTGAGTAATAATTGTTGATCCATAATTGAGAATTAAAATTGCAATAATTATGTTATGTTTCTAATATTAATTGATTGGAGATAAATTTAAAATTCAGAATCAATATTTACATGAACATCTACACCTACTTCAACACTATAAATAAACCATCATCCACAGGACCACAACCAATACTACAATAATGTTTTGCTCGTGGCTGGAATTGGGAGGATGGTTGTGGCTAGAATAGGGAAAAGAATATTTCTGGGAATTTAGATCTCTTATAGAGCTTTATACCGTGCGATCTAGGGAAGATGAATTAAGAAATGCGTAGTAGACATGAAGAAAAAGATGAGGATAAAAATCATACATTGCTTTTGAACCTGGGGCTTCGATTCTTGGAGCTGTTCTTTCTTGGAAGCAGAGGCAACTGTTAGCCGTAGCTCATGAACGTGAAGAAGAAGAAACAGCTTACGTAAAAAGACTATTTTGCCCTCATGAATAAAAAATTTAAAAAGGTTTAAGTTTTTCCGGCCAATTTCCACCGGTGATTTGACCGGAAGGACCAAATCTGCTAAAAAAAGCATAGTTAAAAGACTAAATTGTTAGTTTTAAAAGTTATGAAGCGAAATTAACACGCCCTCTATAGTCATAAGACTAAAAGTGTAATTTGCTCATTCGTTAAATTAATAATAGTCCGTGCATCGCATGAGACACTTACTAGTATAATATAAAATATTATTTGAATACTGCTCAGGGCAACACGCCAACACTAGTTAACTAAATAAAATAATTTTAGTTAAGGGTGTGTTTTGAAATCCAGAAAATGATTTCTGGAAATTATTTTTTGGGTTTTCCGTGTTTGACTAGAGAGAGAAAATTAAAGTCAATGGAAAATATAGGTGTAACAATTTTAAATTTTAAATTTCAGAAAAAAAATTGAGCAATTAATTCCATTGAAAATTTTGAAATTTTTGAATGAATCAAATTAATATTAATCAAAAATGTATTATATATCATAATTTTTTGTTAGTTTAGCCAATTATTCGAATTAGCTGAAATATAATTCAATTTGATTCCTTTCAAAAAAAAAAAATCAATTTGATTATTTTGATAAATTATTATATTTCAATTCAGTGAATCAGTTACTAAAATGAAAATTCAGTTTTAATTAATTTGATTCGAAATTAAGTAATTTAGTCGAAGTATCACCTCTAAAATCGCCATGAAAATTTGTGCTCAGGACTTGAATATTTTCAAGCTAAAGGTGTGTCATGGTTGTCCAGTATACTACGCAAATTATGCTGTGCAATCATGCATGCGCATGGTGCATACAATGCAAAACGACGTCATTTTGGTTAAAAAACGCGTGTCTCACTTAAAAAAGAAATCATGTTTGATTCCCGGCAATAACATTTTTATATATTCATAAATTCATAACTATATATCCACAAATTCATAACTATATATCCACAGTGAATGAATGAAATAAAAATTCATAATGAATGAACTAAATATCCCCAATGAATGAACTAAGTATCCACAATGATTGAACTAAATATCCACAATGAATGAACTAAAATATCCATAAATTCATAACTATATATCCAGAAATTCATAACTACATATTCATAAATTCATAACTATATATCCACAGTGAATGAATGAAGTAAATATCTACAATGAATGAACTAAATATCCACAATGAATGAACTAAATATCCATAAATTCATAACTATATATTCACAATAATGCTATTGTCGAGAATTGAACCTGAATTTTTTTTTTTTTAAAGTGGGACGCGCGTTTTTAGTCAAAACGACGTCGTTTTGCATCGTATGCACCATGGGCATGGTGCATTCGGTTGCACAGCATAGCTATTGAGTATACTATCCTTGGGTTTGGACATTATTGGATACATAACACATGGTGAGAGACGACAAAAATGTCACGAATCAAGAGTGAAACCATCTGGCCTGCACCGGTTTAGTTCACTGCAGTAAGTAATATTTGAGAGTAGAGACAATGGTTTAAAATTTAGCAACGGTACTGTGGGGATTATATCTAAAGTGGATTAATCCCTTGTGCGACATTTGGCTCTGTCTGTTGAGTCATTGAGTTACCGTGATTTACAACTTCCCAAATGCTCTGTCAGGTCGGGGTATTGGGGTCCTTGGGATTGGGGATTCAACCCTTTGGGGGAAGAAGAGTGAAACCATCTAGGGAGAAACCCAACTAAGTTGGTCAGATTGTTGACTAGATAACAACAATGTTTCAAGTTCGACTCTCAGTGGGAGCGACTTATTAGTCTTCTTGGTTTGAACCGATTGGACAGCTTAAACTGATTTACCTCTTTGTGATCTTTTGCCAGCTAGGATCGTAATGTGTAGAGTTTAACCCGTACAAATCCTTATATAGTAACTGCGTGATTCCTTCGTCACTCAACAAAAAAAAAAAAAAAAAAAAAAAAAAGTGAAATCATCTGATCTATAAAGCAAAATGTGTTGATGAAATTTGTTGTTGGGTGAGTGAATAAAAGTGGAGCAGCTTGGTAAGTACTAAGTACTATCATTGTCTGTAATGGTGATTGTTTGTGGTAGACATTAATCTTCATGTTCCCTAATTTTGTTCTGTAGTTATTGCCTCGACCCCTTCCAACAGCTGTTAAGACCACATTGTTTCCAACATACCTCATCAAATCCATGAACCAGACAAGTTCAATGATCTTAGATGTCTACGCAGGGGCGGATTCAGAATTTTTTTTAGTGGAGACAAAATATTAATACGAAAGAGATAGTTTGAAAAAAAAGAAAAAAAGAAAGAGAAAAAGAAACACTTAAAAACATAATCATAAATATTGTTGGATATGGACGAAAAATCAAAATACATCAAAACTTTATTAAAAAATATTTATACCAAAATATAAAACATAAACAGTTTGATAAAATGATTAAAATAGAAAACACATTATAAATTATACATCTCACTATTAATATAAAAGAATACTTGCACATATTAAAAAAAAAAAAAAAAACCAATGGGAGCAATGAGAATCAAACCTTTAACCTTTCCTAAATCAAAGCAATACTTGTCATCCCACCTAACTCAACTTTTGATTATTGTATATATATAATTTATTTATCTCTAATCATCTACTATACATATATACACACAAGGGCTACTGCGGGGGGAGGTGAAGCAGCTGCCCCACTTCTTCCACTGTAGCTCCACCCCAGTGTTTATAGTTGAGGAATACTACATTAAGTGGATTCCTTCTTTTAATTTATAACTTGTAGTGGGGTTAGCTAATTTATGAGTAATCAATGAATATAAAGGGCTGGGGTGTTTGACAAATAGTTGTTAGCTGTTAGCTGTTTGGTTTAGTGAGTTTGAGTAGTTGATATAATTAGCTGATTGTAGAAATACGTTTAGTAAATTGGTTGCTAGCTGATAGGCGATAGCTGATTACATGCAAAATGATTTTCTCAAAAAATTGATCAAAAAAGCTGCTTTGAGCAGCTTTTTGAACTTTAGCATTTTAGAGCAATAAACGGTTACAAAAAGCTAATTATTCAAACACTTATATTAAATGTTTAACCAAATCAATTAGTTAATAGTGGTCAAATAAGTCAAAATTGACTGATAAGCTAACTATGTTATCAAATAGGGTCAAAATGTTAATTATAAGTGGTTTTACTTAACCATCGAGACACCAATATGTTCTATATG